GGCCCGAACCCAGAACCTTCGTGCTGTGAGGCAACGGCGCTGCGTTGAGTAAATACATAGTTCAAATTATCTCCCCCTTTACCAGCGGAAACATTAAATGTGATGTACACAATAATGCACCAGTTATTATAATATGATATACAGGAAAGTGCAATATGCTGTTCTGCATAATGAGTACTTTTACCTTTAGTACTTTAAGTATGTTTTGATGCTGTTATTTTTGTACTTTTACTTAAGTTACATTTTGAATGTAGGACCTTATAAACAGAGTATTTTTACACTGTTGTATTGCTGCTTTTACTTAAGTAAGGGATCTGAATGCTTCTTCCACCACTGGTTAATAGTGTAAATGTACTTTGAATGTGCTCCAATGCATAGAGAAAATAGTGCAAATCCTAGATTAGCTCTAGATTAGTCCTCACTATCTCCTAAGGGAAACACCTGGCATTTAGTAGCTAAATGCGCCACTCGTTTCACCAGCAAACTGCTAACTCTGTTTGCCTGCCATCTGGTACTGGACAGACAGCGTAAGGTGTGTTTATGAAAACATTTTGTGGCCAGTGTGTTATATGAGGAGTGAGACTGCAGCAGTTAAGTTTGGGCCATAAAGTCGAGTCAATGTGCTGAAAAATGCTAAAATACTCCACAGAGCTGAGAGAAACTCCAGAAAGGCAATAAGTGGGTTCGTCATGACAAGTCACCCTATCACATTACATGTAAAACTCGTTAATATAACAATTTCATCAGTGCAGTTTTAATTATCCAGTTTATTTTCCATACATGATCCAACCAAGCTGCTGTTGCCACTGCTTAATATAAAACATACAATATCCTTTTGGCCAGAGGTTTTTTCCCCTGTAAATTATTTGGAATGCGGAAGCTTTCATATGAATAGGTTGAATCATTAGTGCAATGTATCATTTGCCAAAGAGCAGTACAATATGCACTATAGTATATTAAAATGCATTTTACTTTCATAAAAAAAAACCTGAGAATACTTGAAGTTGGTGGTTTCATGTGATGGTGACATGATACAGCTGCCGTAGGCCTCAAGCAGCCAACAGGAAGCAGGGTATTAATTTGTGTCTGACCCTGAAGGAAACCTGAGAGAGATGGCATTATCTGATGTATGCCACTACACCACACCAATCAGTGGCAAATAGGTCCCAGAGATCCAAAATACATGCCCAGAACACATATACAAACCTCAGTTAGCGGTTTAAATGATAATTTATGTCTGTATTTTGATATCTGGAATTAGACAGCTAATAAAGGAAAGACTATGCAGAAGGACAATTACAACAAAAATGCTACGCACATGCATCAAGTCATGTCAAATCAATTCCTGTAGCTGTTACTTACTTTCTCAAACCGATTCACATATGCACATTTTAAACAGTAACTGAAGAGTGGAAACCTAATGTGTACACCAACTGCTGCTTTAAAAGTTGCTGTAAGTTGGAACAAATCATTCAGATAGGCAGGAGGTCTTGCAGTAATTATATGAAGGGCTAGGAGGTCTCTTCTAGAAGGTGTGGTCCACCTGAAGCCTCAGCCATAAATCTCTATCCCATAATTGAGAACACAGTGCACCTAGACTCCTTCCCTCTGAGCCAGGAGCATGAAGAATATTTGGTTTTGTTGGGCAGAAGGTGTGGTCCACCTGAAGCCTCAGCCATAAATCTCTATCCCATAATTGAGAACACAGTGCACCTAGACTCCTTCCCTCTGAGCCAGGAGCATGAAGAATATTTGGTTTTGTTGGGCCTCTTTGCTATAACATGCTTATTAGACCCGGCACAGTAAAAATACACCATATAAATCCATCTGAGTTATTACATCCATCTGAATTACTTCTTATCTAATCTGCATTTAATAATCCCACAACAATATTCTCAACCTTGTCAATTGGTAAAACTGCTCTGTGCCATGCTGATGAGAAGCAGTAAGTGGAGTACAAGAAAAAAATAAGCTTCTAACATGCCTTCCTCACTTCCAGTTGCTGCGGGCAAGGCTCAGAATTAAGCATTTTTCACTCCAGAGAGCAAATGGAACAGTTTAATCAATAAAGATCAATGCAAAGTTGCCCTTTTGCTTTAGTTACTCACATATGGATGATTTTCCTCAGGCTGCTGAATGAGTGCCTCTCCAGCCTCTGCAATGTCATGTCGACCGATATGTATCTAAAAGAAATAAACCCAAATAAACAAATCTACTGAGCAAATCATCTTTGTAATCTCAAAATGACTTTTCGTGATCATCTGTCTGATGTGTAAGAATGGATGTACAGTGCTGTGCCAAGAAGACCTGTTTTCATAAATGAGCTTAAGGGTGTGTGTTTCAAAAATGATCCTACAGGCTACAACTCCTTCCTGAAATTATCCAGCCGTTTTGTCTAAAGCCTCCCTAGTCACAGATAATTTGACATATACATTACCTAGTCATCAGTCACTCCCATTTGTTATTACTTGGTAACAAGTATGCTCTTGAATAAACCATGAACTTGGTACTGAATCCATCTTAAAATGACTTATTGGAAAAATAAACATGAAAAAAAATTCTTTTGGACTTATAGTTATTACTAGACACCTAGGAAAACACACCATAATGTTCACAAACTTTAAAAAGAGCTTGTATCAACTAAATCTGAGCAATGTTTTATTGGTTTTCCATCATGTCTAGTATCATTTTATCTGGATAATGAGCAAGGAGGAAATGGAAACACTGGCTCTGAGTACTTGTGGCTGCTTACAGAAAACATCTCATCTACCTCCGTCTTCCTTCATGCATGACTTGGAAGCAGACACCAGCCTCAGCAGCTGAGGATCAAGGCTCAAGTGTATGTTTTACCTCCACACACAGACTCCACCTCTACCGGGAATTTTAAACTCACCACACACCCAAAATGCCCTGCTGGAATACCTAGCATATGTCCAAACCTCACTGCGGTTGAAGAACCAACATTCCCAGGAAAGGAACGCATTTCCACTTCTAGCTGTGATTAGGAACCAGCAGTGATACTAAACAGAGTGTAACATCTGCTCCAGTGGAAGGTGAAAAGGAAAGGGGTTGGCAGTTTGGAACCGCGTACGATTCCTACTTTTTAGGTGAAGCTTTTGAAAGACAACAGGTGAATGAGAAGAAGTGAAGGGTCGGTGTTTAGTGGTGTGAATGATAATGATGATGAAAAGTGTGCGAGTGCTACACAGAATAAGCCTAGAACCAACATCCATACTGAAGAAAATCATCACTCACATCCTTGAGATGTTGACCATGTTGGCAAAGGCCTCAGCTGGCACAGATGACAGGCTGGTCTCAAAAAGCCACCTGGTTAAAAGTAAAGATCGAACATTTTAGTTGTAACAGCCACATTTACCTTTCAGTACCCTCTGTTTGTTGGACTTGACTTCTGTGATTAGCAGTGTTTTTGACATTTTGTTAAGTAAGCTTGGCTTAGTCTAAAGATTGGAGACAGCTGGGAGCAGTGAACAAACTGCTCCAACTTATTTCTCAAAATGTCAATTTATTTATTTAATGGGCAAAGATGAGAATAATGACATTTAATACAGCTAATTGAAAATGCTCAAGATTTCCTTTACAATTAAATAAGCGACTCAATTATCACAAAGTAAATTTCACATGAAGACAGAGAGAGATCTAAAGGGGGAATGAAAAAGACAAAGGATGTAGGTATGAGAGTGGAGACAGAGAAATGCAGCTAAAGGCCCAAAGGCAATGTTGGATTTCCGAATCAAATGAAAGGTTCCTTTGAAGTAAATGGTGACAAAGACCCAACTGTTAATGGGAATAAACAGACTTTGAACTGACTAGACCTGAGCTGGTAGCACATGTCTAGGTGTGTCTAAGACAATAGTTCTGTAAGTAAAGGTAAGACCCACATATACATTGTATGATACACTGCCACACAAATTGTGTTGCAGTTTCTTTCTGTTTTAATCCTTTAATCCTGAATCCAAGGGTTAAGCTTTGAGACAGAAAAATTTAGAATCTGATGTATATTTCATCCACAAGTTCAAGTCATGTCATGCTTGCTGCAGGTTTTTGCATAAAAGAGGAACTGTTTGAAAATGAGAGAAGAAGTTAGATATTTCATTAAAATCTGTTATGTGCTTATTAGTGTTCTTTCTGAGAATTAGAGAAGAGAATTAATGCCACTCCATGTCTGTAAATATGAAGGTGTAGCATGCATGTCTAGCATAGCATAAAAACCAATTCCACCAACCAGCACATATAAAACTCACAAAATAACAGCTGTATTGTTTGTTTAGTCCATACAAAAACCTGTGTGTCAAGTGTAAAAAGTAAATATTGTAGTTTTACTATGGGTAATGTGCCAGACTAGAGTCACTAGTGGCTGCTGTAAAACAGAAAATTGTCATTTTTACACTTGAGTTTTTAATATAGATTTAGCAAACAAGATAGCCTATAATGTGTTCATTTGTGATGCCAACTGTATATATAATGGACATCATGACAGTTACCAGAAGGGTTAAATTATGGAATAGATTGGGTGATGATTTAAAAAGATGTATAAGTGTAAAACAATTTAAGAACAAATATAAAAAGGTCTGCATAGCTAGGTATTGGATACAGGAAGTGTAATGATGTTATCATGATATTATTGGTATATTTATGGGTGGGATATGAATAATTTATTGTATATAATTTGGTTATTAATTGTGTAATTGTGATTTCTGGCTAGAAGGAATGCAGTGATTCGGGGCCGCGGGAATTTAACCAGTGTAGCTGTTTAGCTTAACACTTGAGTTGGGTTAATCATAGTTTGGATTATCAGGGGTAGAACTAGATAAGTATCACTTCTTTCTACTTCTTTGCAAGCATGTAATGATCATTTATCATCATGAGACTCCTCCATGTTAGCAGATGGGACATGAGTCACATTAAAAATTCAAAGTAAAATAATAATTATTATTATTAATTGTTATTTGATGACCGCTTCAGCACAGAATTTGGTTGGAAAAACCACGATGTCATGTTTCTGCATTCATGATATTTTGGCTTCATTTTTGCATAGTGGTAGGAAGTGGTGATGTGTCATCCGTTGTATACAGTCAATGATTTTTGAGCTATAGACACACTAACAGATGGAATTGATACCTTTGAAAGACTGCTGGCTAGCTGTTTTCTGTTTTCTACTCTTTGTGCTAATTAAGCTAACTGGCTAGTGGCAATAGATTTATATTTAGTGTACAATACAGAAATGAGACTGGTATGAATCATTTCATTTAGCTCTTGTCAAAGCAAATAAATGTTTCTTCCTAGAAAGTCCAGCTTCTGTTGTAGAGTACACTGTGGGCACTTTTCCTTCTGCCTTGCTCGTGAAAATGTGTTGCTTCTTTCCTGTGATCTTGCTGCTGATTGTGTTGTGGTGGATTTGGGAGTCTAATAATAGCAGATGGTAACCACATGTGCTGGTGACATGTACTCCAGGCCCACCCCACATAATTTGTTCATCCACATTCTGTCTCAACTAGCAACAGTCTATGTGTCAGTTTGGAAACAGGTATAAAAAGTGATTCAGACAAAGCCGTTATCAAGGGAACGACAGACTAATTCAGAGGCAGTGGATCTGGCCCAGGAGCCCAAATGAATCGCACTCACAGGGGGATGTTAGTGGCTAAGTAGACACAGGAGCAGAGCACCCCACACATGCTTTGACAAACTAAAACAAACAGAGGGACACAGAACAGACCCTGATACCAAACACCCTTGTCAGAGCCATGCTGTTTTACTGCCCTGCTCAAACCCAAACAACAAACACCACACATTTTCCCTCAGCATTGTGCAGAGAAGCCCAGTGAGCCCATTTTGCAGGTTTAAGGAGAAAACCGCTCCCTCAATTTGTCATTTTGGATAGAAACCTAAAAAAATAAACAGATTGGGAATTGAGTTTGAAGTGGGGAGAAGCCACATAATATATAATAGTGTCAGCAGTTGATTGACATATCTGTGTTTACTATGGGCTCTGTCTCATTTTGATGTGTAATGGTCTGTGATGACTAGTGGAAAGGGTCAGTTACATATTCTGCAGCACATTTCAACCTGCACTTTCTCCACTGTGATTCACTGTAAATTCCTCTCACACAGAAATGAAATGTCTTCTCAGTCAGAATGGTTGGATGTTGGATGAATGGTTTTATTTTAAGTTTTATACAAGATCTAATAAACACACGAGGTGATTATTTTAGAATGTGAAGTAGCAACAATTTCCATCCATCCATGTGTACAATTAAAGGAAAACTGTCAGTGGTTCTACTCATCTCAGCTACAGCTCATCATGTTCAGTGTCCCATTCCTTATTCTACAATTAATCCTAGTGCTCATACAGTGGTGTGAAAAAGTATTTGCCCCCTTACTGATTTCTTATCTTTTTGCATGTTTGTCACACTGTAATGTTTCAGATCATCAAACAAATTTAAATATTAGTCAACGATAACACAAGTAAACACATCATGCAGTTTTTAAATGAAGGTTTTTATTATTAAGGGAAAACAAAATCCAAAACTACAAAGCCCTGTGTGAATAAGTGTTTCCCCCCCCTGTCAAAACATAACTTAACTCTGAAATGAGAAAGAGAATAATTGAGCTCTATCAGTTTGGAAAAGGTTATAAAGCCATTTCTAAAGCTTTGGGACTGCAGCGAACCACAGTGAGAGCCATTATCCACAAATGGCGAAAACATGGAACAGTGGAGAACCTTCCCAGGAGTGGCCGGCCGACCCAAATTACCCCAAGAGCGCAGCGACAACTCATCCAAGAGGTCACAAAAGACCCCACAACAACATCCAAAGAACTGCAGGCCTCACTTGCCTCAGTTAAGGTGAGTGTTCATGACTCCACCATAAGAAAGAGACTGGGCAAAAATGGTTTGCATGGCAGAGTTCCAAGATGAAAACCACTGCTGAGCCAAAAGAACATAAAGGCTTGTCTCAGTTTTGCCAGAAAACATCTTGATGATCCCCAAGACTTTTGGGATAATACTCTGTGGACAGACGAGACAAAAGTTGAACTTTTTGGAAGGTGTGTGTCCCATTATGTGTGGCGTAAAAGTAACACCGCATTTCAGAAAAAGAACATCATACCAACAGTAAAATATGGTGGTGGTTGTGTGATGGTCTGGGGCTGTTTTGCTGCTTCAGGGCCTGGAAGACTTGCTGTGATAAATGGAACGATGAATTCTGCTGTGTACCAAAATATCCTGGAGGAGAATGTCCGGCCATCCGTTTGTGACCTCAAGCTGAAGCGAACTTGGGTTCTGCAGCAGGACAATGATCCAAAGCACACCAGCAAGTCCACTTCTGAATGGCTAAAGAAAACCAAAATGAAGACTTTGGAGTGGCCTAGTCAAAGTCCTGACCTGAATCCAATTGAGATGCTGTGGCATGACCTTAAAAAGGCGGTTCATGCCCGAAAACCCTCCAATGTGGCTGACTTACAACAATTCTGCAAAGATGAGTGGGCCAAAATTCCTCCACAGCGCTGTGGAAGACTCATGGCAAGTTATCGAAAACGCTTGATTGCAGTTGTTGCTGCTAAGGGTGGCCCAACCAGTTATTAGGTTTAGGGGGCAAACACTTATTCACACAGGGCTATGTAGTTTTGGATTTTGTTTTCCCTTAATAATAAAAACCTTCATTTAAAAACTGCATGATGTGTTTACTTGTGTTATCTTTGACTAATATTTAAATTTGTGTGATGATCTGAAACATTACAGTGTGACAAACATGCAAAAAGATAAGAAATCAGTAAGGGGGCAAATACTTTTTCACACCACTGTATGTTATTATTCAGAAAATGGCATTAGACTCTTGATGTTCAGTTTTATTAGATGAAAGGTTGAGGGACAGCAAATACTACAAGTAATCATAAGTTTTAATACAATCCAAAACTTCTGAGGTTTTTGAAAGACTGGAACTGCTGTGTTTCCCCCACTTTCCCCAGAAGTCTTTTTTCCTCGTAATTATTCTCAAATGGAACTCGGTGGGTGTTTGAGAAATGTGCTGCAAAAGGTAAATATTGTATGTGAATGCGTCGTCCAGACACAGCTGGGAGTCACGCTACCCAGGCTTCTGAGTATGTCTGTGCTTTCCTTTCCACCTCTCTGACTCCCAGTGACACATGAAGTAACCTCCACAAATACACACACAAAGGACTCCAAGCTCTAAGTATCCACACTCACGCACAAACATGCAGACGTCTGCGCTGCATTCACATTTTGTTTTGTGAATAGAACTTTGACACATTTGCCTTCACTAGAGAATTTTCAACCAAACCTTTATGTTAATAACAAAATTAGGGCAGAAATTAGAAAGTATTTGCCCTTATTCCAAATTATTGGAGTGAAAATCTCTATCATTGTTGAGAAAAAAGCTTTAAAGAAATGGTTTTGGAAAATATGCTTATTTATTTTGTAGCATTAGATGAGAAGATTGATGCCACTCTTAGGGATGTATGGTAAATATAATTAATGCTAGAGCTAGCAGCCAGCTCCATTAAGGTTATCATAGCAAAAGAACTGCAAACTGGAGGAAACAGCCTGGCTCCCAGCAAAGGTAACACATTTTGCCTACCAGCACCTCCAATGCTCACTTAACATGCAATATCTCATTTGTTTTATCTATTATGTGCTTTCCCCTTCTTCCAGTTTTCTTGCAGAGTTACAGATTCTGACTTGTCATAATGATAAAAAAAATCTGATATTTCCCACTTTTCACATGCCCAAAGAAAGTTCATGTCATGTAAAATTTTGAGTCAAATTTAGATTCTACCCAAATTAAGTCGAGTATCTATCAGGCTTTCTAAGCTTAGTAAGTGTGAAAAACATTTTGGCTACTATAAAAATGTCACTTCTCATCAGCCCACTTCATTGAAATTGTAATTAGGATTTTGAGATCTTCTGCTGAGAGACTAACAAACCAAAACCTAATTCACTGTCAGAGGTAGCAAAACAAAAGGCCGATAACACAAATGAACTGACAACCAGGCTTGACCAGAGTCAGTGGGATTGGATCCCACTGGCCTGACCAGAGCAGCAGGGTCATTCAGTCCTCAGTGTGTGTGCAGCAAAAACAACCTCATCTGCTAGAACATCCCTCTCATTACACAGTCTATTTTGAACTTATTAGGTAGGGGCAGTGACAACACAGTGCTTGGTGGCTTGCTTTCATGTTTTTCTATCCTCCTGGAGGGCACTAGGTAAACTATGAGCAAGAGTGTGAGGAAATCTTGGGGACATCAGGGCAAGCAGATGCATGAATTGGAACAGATTGGGAGATAATACGGGGACAGCTGTGGCTCAGGAGGTAGAGTGGGTCGTTTCCTAACCGGAGGATTAGCAGTTCAATTCCCAGCTTGTTCAGTCAACATGCCGAAGTGTCCTTGAGCAAGACACTGAACCCCCAGTTGCTCCCGGTGATGTCGCCGGTGTGTGAATGCGTAAGTGCTTGGGAGTGCAAATGGGTGAATGGCCGAATAATGTGAAAGCGCTTTGAGTGTGCTGTAAAAGCGTAGAAAGGCGCTATACAAGTATAAGACCATTTGCCATAATGTTATTCAATGATTGCTGTTGGAGACAATGCAAAGTAGTTTTACAGATTTAAGGATTGAGGGGTGATCCAATAAACTATAAAAAAGGAATCACCAAACAGCGAAAAACCTTCCCCTGAGCTTCAGGTCCTGCATCCCACATCTGTCTTTTAGGGAAATTCTGGGTAAAAGTAACAAGTGTCAAAGAAATTATCCACAGTCCTTGAGCAATTTGGGGAATGTAAAAGCCCTAGTACATGTTTCAGAACTAACCCTGACATATTACAACATATTGCTTCCTAGGATTCTTGACAGAGGTTTGGGGGTCTCAGATAAAAAGAACAAAACTGACTGAAAACAAATCAGCCCATTGATTGAACAAAAAAGAAAACAGTAACTACAGAGTTTTTGATTTCTTTTCTTTTATCATGCATTTTGTAAAAGAGTGAAAAAATCTGTAAAAGCTTGAATACAACTTTGTTTTTCCCTCCTGCATATATATACCTCTAACTTAATGATTTTGCATTTTGTGCTGTTTGTCAGACGAAGCAAGCAATCTGAAGACATAACCTCAAGCTAACTGTGATGGGCATATTCCACTGTTTTCTTACATGTTATAGATCAGACAATTATTTGACCGATTAAAAAATGAAAGCAGAAACTGAAAGAATTCATGCAGGAAGCCTTATTGTTGTTTCATATTGTCCTTCCTAAGTGTAGTAAGGGGAGGTGAGCACTGCATTTAGCACTGAAGAGCATCATCTCTGTATCTTACTCTACAGTATGTCTGCACTATATGTGCTTTGCACACAGGACCTTGAAATGTTTCACAGCCCTGCATACAGCCAAAAGTGAACTTGACATCTGATTTCTGGCTTTATTCTCTCTCTCTCTTTCTCTCTCTTTATGTCTGTCTTAGTCTGTTCCTGTATCCATTCCAATCTCTCATACTATAAATGAATAATCACAGAATTACTTAGGGAACATATTGATATTATGTGTATTAAGTGCTGCTCTATATCATAGTGTGCATGTGTAATAGCAAATTCTAAGTGAGTAAACAATAAGTCCAATACAGCTGTCATCATTTAAAAGCAACCAACAAAAAATATAACCTAAATCAATTATATATTTAGGACTTTATATTATGTAGGCTATTTAAGCTGTTCGGTTACAGTAGTGTTAGTAAGTTATAAGGTTTGATTAATCTGTATTTATAAAACATGATTGAAGGTTTTATTATATGCTCAATAACTTACTGACGTCTCTGCAATCACTTTATTCCACTATTAATCTACCTGAAAGTTAATCTTCATAAAAATCTAACATTCTTTTAAGACATTTTCACACTGGGTAGGTTTCACAGCAAATCAAAAATAGGAGACACGCTGACAATAAATACCTTTAAATGGAACAACTAGGCTACTTAACATCGCAGATAGCCTAAAGTCCCTGAGGTAACACTTTGAAGGAATATTAATGTTTTCCTAATGATTGTGCCCCGGGGTTGGGAGCACTTTACTTTCAAAATGCATGAAAAAAAGAGTAAAATCGCTTTTACAGACGCGTTTTGTGCGCCTACTTACAGTGTCTCCGTGCTCGCTGGAAACCTGGGGAGCATGTCAATGTCAAAGCAGGAGATTGTACGAGTCTTCCACTCAGAGCACTCGCAGACTGCAGGGCAGGACTCAGCCTCCGACGAGGTGCTGACAGGGAGAATGATGAGCGTAAACAACGCGCACGCTGTCATCTGCATGATGGAGTGGGGTCGGCTCATGATATCCCCAGCCTGGCTTCTGTTTGTCCACCCGATGGCTTTCTTCATGTCCACAATAACAAATATGTAGGCTATGTCAAGTTAAGTCAAGTTGTCTGTGATAACTTATGACGCTGTTGTTTTGGTGCAGGCTGTAATCCTCAGGTAGAGACAGCGCAGCTGCACTACAGTGCACGGTTGCGTTTTCTTTCCAGGGCCTCACGAGTTTCTGTGAGAGTGTGAACAAGCTGGAGATACTGTAGGACGGACATGTGTGGTGGGTTTGGAGGTGGTCTCCAACTTGAGGGGAGGGTGGACTTCTGAGACACTCTTGTGCCGGGCTGCAGAAGAGTCCCTTTCCTCTACTGGACAGTGCTTTAGTTTTTGTTTTTACTCAAATATTTTTTAATGTTCAGAGCTTAAGGTAACTTTCTTTTCCAGTATAAGTTAATGCCAGTCTTTTGTATAGAAGAGAGTTTTTGTCCACACATCGTGCCCTTAATCTGTCTACCTCCGTGTTTCGTTATGGTGTTTTTGTTGTAACTTTCATATTTTTGGGCAACAAACCAGGCCCGCGTTAAAATGAACAATGAGCCACTTTTGCGGAGCGATTATCATCTTACTGAGTTTTGAGTTGAATTAGAGTTTCTATTTGCAGGCTCTTTGAAGGAAACCAGCTCCAGTCTTCGCATGCACACTGCCAAGTCCAAATTACTGAAGCTGCGTCGCCCTGAATCGCGCCGCCCAATCTAATGTGCGGCAGTCTACATCCCCACGGCCTATCTGGCATCCAGAACCCGGCCAGCTGATCCAAGTTCCCAGCCTTCTGGGCCTGACGGAGTAAGGACTCCCCACTGGCCGAAGCAGCTCGAACCATTGCTGAGCGACGAGCAGCACTTATGGAGCCAGCAGTTTTTAAAGTCTACGTGGTGATGATGATTTAGAAATTAATAAATGAATGTGAGGAGTCCGTGGCCTTAATCTGCTATGACAAAGTTTTGGCCACATGGCGGCAGCAGAAACAACACAACTCTGACATTATTACTTTTCAACTGGGCCGCGAACATACTTATTTGTATTTACTGATAGCATCCTATGGTGTGAGATACAAACTTAGAAATAAATAAATTGATCAGAGATCTATAGAAATCATTTGTCTCTTTAGCTTTAAACATCTGGCATATGAGTTTAGACCAAACCACCTGTATAGGCCTAAATGTACTATGGTTTTGTGTTTGAAAATTTAATCCACCTTTGAAAACAACACATAGCTAAACTATAGGTGTAGTCCACTTCTTGTGTGACAAAAAGGTGATCATATAGGCCCAACTCCCAAATGTTTTATAGAATCAGATGGACTAATATTATAAAGCTGACAAAAAAGTGCATGTAGAATTGTTGAAACAGTTTATATCTGGGCAAAACTAGTTCACTAGGTAACGTTATGTTTTAAAAAACAAACAAACAAGTTGTTCTACAAAACTGTGCACAGATTGAACACAAACATTAACCCAACTGTGATGAGAAAAGTGCAGTGCATGTGATTTTCCTTTAGTTCTCAAAATTGTCTAACTTTTACTTCTGAGTGAAATCAACCAACTTCTGATCAACAACACACTATATCTGAGTGAAATCAAGATATTTCTCATTTGACAAAAAGAAAAAAGTGCTTAACTATCGCAGTGATGTCAACGTGAGTACTTTTATATAGTTTTTTTAAATTAAAGATTTAAGTTAATTAAAACAGGTCCTGTACAGGATTTTTCTGATCCTCTGAAATTGCTTGTGTTTTGTAAATGTTTTGGGCTGGTGTTGATACATACTTTGTTATGGGGATATTGTCTGTAGCTCACACAGTTTAATTCTGATTTCTTAGGAAGCTCCAGTCACAAGAGTTGGAAAGTAACTAAGTACATTTACTCAAATATAATTTTGAAGTAGCCTATTCTACTTGAGTATTTTCCATTTTCTCTTGCTTACTACTTCAACTTCACTACATTTATACTTTTCACTCCACCACACTGATCTGATAACACTAGTTAGGCTATATAATTATTTTCAGAATCAGATTAACTTTATAAAATACAGTGTAATCAAGACTGATCCCTAGTTGGAAATTCACAAGCTACCCAGCCAATGAGGAGAATATTTACAATAAGCCAAGCTCTGGATCATATCTTTGCTGAAAATGAGGCTGAGGACACAGAGCAGCATAGCGATACGGATGAGCAGGTTTCTGAGGAGGAAGATGATGTAGAGTATCAACCAGAAGACACGGACACATCGGATTACTCTAATGAGGAGGTCACCACTGCTAAAGCTGCTCCCACTCCTCCAAAAGTGGTAACGTGTTGGAGCTCAGTACCTCCTGACGTACATGGCAGGACAGCTGCTGTAGATGTCATTAAAATGACCCCTGGGATCACAAGGTTTGCTGTGACAAGAGTAAGTGACATCAAGAGATGTTTTGATCTTTTTATGCCATTGTCACAAAAAAAAAACGTCATTATTGCTATGATAAGCATTGAAGGAAAAAAGTCCAAGGCGACATGTGGAATGACATGGATGAGGAATACCTGCATGTTTGTACTGGTGTTCTTCTTCCTGCTGGACTGTACAGATCCAGCAGTGAGGCCACTGATTGTCTCTGGGACACGTCGGCAGGCAGAAATATTTTCCCATAATAAAATAAACTTGAGCTGCCTGCTAAAATTTTGCAGATGAAGGGTTCCACTTTCTTCAAAATTTGCTTTTACAGACACCATCTGTCATGATTCCGGTTTCTCTGCTTCTGGTATCATGCTTTTATTCTGACACCACTTCCTGTCACGGTGTCATTTCAGCTACGGACTCTTTACATAAATCAATAACAATTGTTTGCACCTGTTTTCACCCCTTTAGAGGCCACTTTCTCCCACCAGGAAGCTGCCAGATTGTTCTAACTCATGTTCAGACTTTCCAGTGTTTTTCCTAGTGCCTGTTATTCCAGCATTGACCCCTAACTGCCTTGTGACCACCGAGTACTGCTTAACCCTTCTGATTCAGTTTGGATTTTGTGCACCGACTTATGGACTTCCCCTACTGACTGTTCTTCTTGTGGATACCTTGGATGTGTGAGTTTGCTGGCTCTGACCCTGGATTAGATTATTGACCTGAGAGTGTTACATGTTGAATCAGACTCCTGCATTGTTTATTGTGTGTTTCTGACCAGTGCTTGTATTAAAAAGAGAGTGTTATGCTTATCCTCATCTGGCCTTATAATTGAGTTCACCATTGACATTATTAGCAGCTTTACTCGCTGATTGTGACACCATCACTATAATTTCTATAAGTACTTGTTCTGCTTTTCATTTTGTATTTGTATTAAAGTTCTATTTTTGAGAGAAATTTTTTTTTGGCAATTTTCTTGAAGTAAATATATATGGGTCAAAATTGACCCATAACACCATAGATGTTATTATAGTTAATAATATTAAAATAAAAAAAAAAAATAAAAATTTATTAGAGAGATGTGTTCTAATACCCCTCAGTAATAGTCAGGTAGCATAACAATCTTTTATTTATTAATATAATTCTCTTGAGGTCCATTTTACCATTTTTTTTGATTGAAAGCAAGAGATATGCTGTCAAAAGAAAGGCCCAGGGGGCCACACCATATAAATATTAAAACCAAGCTTTTCATGTAGAAGGAAACCTAACAAGGTAACAAACGGGTAAGAAACCAATTGGATGATAAATAATTGTTTTGAGGGTATTTTATGGCTGATTTAAGACACAGGTCAAACCGACCCATTAACATAATAGATAGTAACAGAAAGCTAACATAAGAGGAAGGTAAAGGTGCCCTTTACATACCTTCATTCTTACCACAGTTTCTGTATACTTTGTGTAACAGAACATACACAGCACAATACTGATATCACTGCTGTATGTTGAGCGCACTAACTTGTATATATCTGTTTGCAGTCCACTGAAAAACAAAGTTCCCGTTGACAGACCACAACAATACGGGTCACTGGTCCTAGCAGTGAAGATTTCCCCAAAGAGGCTGACTCAGTCCAGACTAGAAAACTGACTGAAAGTCTAAAATCTGTCAGGTTTGCCAGGCTACACCTTCCTCTCTTCTCTCTTTCTCACTCTAGTCTGCTCCTTCTCACTGATTCTCTTGATTAGACACACCTGTCCTGATTTTCTGACACTCTTCAGCTGCGCCTCCTTTGTCACTCCCTATTTATACTCGGCTTTCCCATCACTCCCTTGCTAGTTCTTTCTCTGTCGTTAACCTTCCCTTGCGTTACATATTGTACTATATTGTTATCCTGTTTAAACATATGTTATTTTGTCTCAGTGTCTCCTGTTGTTTTACCTGGACCTCTCTTCTGGACCTTGGCTTCCTCAGCTCCACCAACCACTTCCACAGGTCGATGCACAATCTCCTCATTCATTGCACTCTCTGTTACCTTCCCAGTCAACCGGATCTCCACCTTGACCAGCCCAGGAGTGTCTCCTTCCCTCGCAGCCCAGCCACATCACTCCATGGACAATAACCCCTCCACTACTGTTGGTCATCACCCGGTGATATTCATTCATTCCATACTTGTACATAATTATTGCACCTCTGTCAGCACTGTAAATAAACCCACTACTTGCACCGAAGCCAGCCGCCTGGGTCCGTTTATTCTCTGCTCGCTCACACTAGTGTCAAGCGGTCGTAACAAAATCATATGGGGTATTTGAGGATGACTCGGAGCTGCAGAACAGGTATGACACATCTTGGAAGGTAGAAGTGAAAAAACATGGCGATTTTAGGGAGGTTTTAGTACTGGCTACATTCTTGGATCATTCTTGCCTTAACCACTGGATCAGAAAGCGGTGGTGTTTGGGGAGAAAAATACAATTTATGAACATGTGTTTTGATGTACAGCTTGTTTAAAACTGACTAAATCACCAGTGGCATCACAAAATGCAGGTGTTGTGTTGGATAAAAACATCTGGGGCAAAGTTAATCACTCTGAAAATGTAGCTGCATGTAAATGCTTTGTAAAATTTGCAGATGAGGATTGAATGATTTGAAAATCCTGTGTTTTATGTCAGGATGTGGCCAGTGCCAGTGCACCTGCGGGACGTGAAAGACCTCCACTTCAACCTTCCTTTCTGGGATCCCAGAGTAAGACCTCAGCAGGGTTTTTCAGGATTCTAAGCTACGTTCATGGAATCGTGCTCTGTTCTCACATCTCCAACACATCTAAGCTGAAAATCTGTGTTCTTCTACATTTGCAGGTCAGTCCCAGAGACCGTGACCACTTAATGCCCATCATCACCCCGACATACCCACAGGTCAACACCACCTACAACATTTGTCACTCCACCTTCAACGTTATAACGGAGGAGATCAAACGAGGTGTGTACTGTAGTCACTTAGCTGTCAGCCACCAAACACTCAGTTCACTACTTGTGTTGTGGGCCAGCTAAATGTGACTGTAACAAACTTGGTTTTACACAGTCTCTGAACTTTTTGCTTTGTTTGCTCTAACACTCACTCAGTCAGTGTGGTGTAGGCATTTGAACTTCTATTACTGTGCTGTAATCTTGGATTAACTGAGCACAGTTTAGCCAAACTATGTAAAACCTGTAACTGCCAAACAAAGTGATGTGATTTTGTTGTACTTAGACTTTAACCAACTTTTTCTTCCTCATTCACAGGTCATGTCATTGCTGAAGAAATACAGGTGAACAAAGCAGACTGGTCCAAATTATTTGAGACACCAGACTTCTCTGAAAAGTACCAGTATGTAATAATCCACAACTCTCTGATAAGAAATAATAATTCATGTAGTAAGATCCCTGCCTGTGTACAAACACAAAATGTTGTCATTGTTCAAGGCACTATGTTCTGCTGCGGGCGACTCCGGCTACAGAAGAGCAGCATCTTCAGTGGTGAGTACACAGGCCAAAGTAAAAGAGAAGCCAAGTTTAAGTAAAACTGGAATGAATCACAGATGAATAGTTCCAGCTACTGTAGTGCTTTCGTCTCTGACAATGATGTTTTCTTCATTCTATCAGGGCTGGCTTTGTGGAGTCTAAAATCAGACATCTGGAGAGAAATGTGCACATTTCCCTGGCCCATGCTAACAGGTGGCCATCCCCTGGACCTGGGCAGGCCAATAACAAGTAAGGACATGATTTTATGGTTATATTTTAGCTGATTCCTGTGTTTTGTTCTTTTGCTATTACAGTATTTGCTTGCAGTAATAAATAAACTTGTTTTACTCATTAGATGTGATACACTTTGTCAACTCACTGGCTTATATTTTCGTTTCAGAGAGGAAATAAGCTCAGAATGGCTGACTGGACTTTTGCTGAGTTCAAATTGGTCTAAAAACTGGAAAACAGACCTCACCCCCCTCTTCAATAACTTCAGCAATACAGTTGTCAGCGCTGCAGCAACCTATAACGTATTTGAAGAGGGGATGACCATATCAGCCAAATACACAAAGAAAGAAGATCTCAGCTGGCAGATGCCCAGGGATAAATGCAAACTGGCTTTCAGTCCAGAACAGAAGGCACCAGTGAGTCAGCAAAATCACACACCGCTGTTTGTCGGTGGCAGACAAACAGGGACAAAAAGAAAACATGAGGATCAAGATGAAAGACCAGCCAAGAAGCTGAAAGCTGACAAGGTTTGCAAACCATTCCATGATTTGACTTAAACATATCTTACATTTTCACATTGTCATAAATAAAATCTCTTTTCTGTACAGGAATCAGCGTCTGTAACAATCAGCTCATCTCGCTCTGCCGAGGCCTCTTCAGCCGTTATGTTCAGCCCCAGCATGAACCCACCACTAAACAAAAGACCACGCTCACCAGAGCGTGAGTTGTCGCCTAATGGGCCTGGTGCTGTTAAGAAATGTGCCATCAAACTTCAGCGCACCATGTACGTCACAGAATTATCTTTAGTTCTCTCTAGCTGGCACACACTGCTACTCTCTCTCCTGATATGACAGACATCCACACACACATGTTGAGATCCATATAAGGCCACTTCCAAGACAGACTGATTGAGCTGGGTGTATTTTACACCTTTTCACCACAAGAGGGCGGTGAAGCCTTTCTGCTGGTCTCTACCTCAGTCAGTAGCAAAAAAATGGGTACACACTATAGACAAACTGTTAAAGACTAGTAACTTGGTGACACCAAACTCTGATGCAGATTATAGTTAAGGGAGCATCTTTACCCACAGCAATCTCTTTACAAATAGCTGCATCTTCCATGAAAGAAAATAATGACTTTGAATGGTGGCAATTTTCATCTTAACGTGTTTTTGGAGATGAATATATCTGATGCATTTGTGAGTATGATCTATCATGCTTTATATATGCTGTAGCAGCTATATATCTCTATCTATATACAGTGGGGCAAGTAAGTATTTGATACACTGCTGATTTTTCAACTTTTCCCACTTACAAAGAACGGACGACAGATCTGTAATTTTCATCATAGGTACACCTCAACTGTGAGAGACAGAATCTACCAAAAAATTCCAGAAAATCACATTGTTAGATTTTTAAATAATTTATTTCCATTTTATTGCATGAAATAAGTATTTGATACAATAGAAAAATAGAACAACTTGCAGCAATGTGGCCTTTGATGTAGATGGTAAGTGTTCAAGATTGTGAGGTAGTCATGAAGACTGATGAAAGACTATCATGTAGAAAAAATGAACCGTTTCAAGTCTTTATGTACTGTCTGTTAATTTTGCATTATGTTTAATTTTATGCTTATTCTCATTTCAGCAATATATTTAAATTCCAAATTCATTATGATGGTATTGTGATTTTCCAGTTTTAAGTATTTCTTTTCTTTAGAAAAAAGCTGATTATCTGTTCATAACCTTCTGACTACTTATTAATTTAAAAGATATGACAATTTAGCTTAATTTATGCCACTTAAAGCTTCAGTCTATAACTTTTTAAAAATATGTATGTGCTCCAAAACCTACCTTAACATGGAGAAGTGCTGTCAAAGGTGTAGCAGAGCGGGGAGAGGACTTGCTACTGCTATCTTAAACTTGTACCTTTTGTGGCTTTAAGAAGAAATCTGTTCATACAGGCATACTTGCATGAGGCTCATTATTTTAACAGCGAGTCATCACCTTCTTGACATTACCAGATTAAAAACTGCAGTTTTGATTTTATGCAGCATTTATACATTGTGATTATTTATTTCCCATCACACTGTGTCATTATATATACACATTATATCCTTTTCAGAGGCTGACTGCATGGCAGGTTCATTGGATGAAAGGCTAATGTAACCATACTTGTACTGCTTTTGTACTACAAAGTAAAAACAGGAAAGTTGAAAGACATTGTGGTACATTATCAACTGCACAATTAGTAATTAGAGATTTTATTGTGGTATGTGAAATAACAAATCTAGCATATAAACTGTTTTATTTGTTTTCAATTTCATGTATAGAAACAAACAGCCTTGTCGTCTGGTATCCCATAGCCATTAAAAGTCTCTTAGCTTCTTCCTTGGAAAGCTTCCGGTACATGCGTCTCTGGGCAGCATTAGCCACTAAGCTGCTGGAAAAATAAATTTGTTCAGCTGCACACACACACGCCCTCAAATGGGAATTTAAGCAGGACTGGCCATTTTGAAAATGACAGCCGTACTTCATCATACACGGTTAGCATTTGGTGAGCAATACTGGCACTCCTTCTTTACATCAGAAGAGGAAAGTGAATTATCTGCAGTAAAAGTCAGATAAATTATCTACATGAGAGCATAGGCTCACATGATCAGCGGAAAGAGATGGCTGCTGCTAATGAGTGAACAAAAGTGTGTCTGTTGTGGTTTGGAGGAAGCATGTTCTGTTCTCTTTCTCTGGCTATCTCATTTCACATTTATGAGAATCTGTTTAAGCTGCTTAAGTGGTTATAATACAGCATTTACTGTATGCTGGAGGAAGCGGTGACGCAGTGTGACAAGGAGTTTCATTCCCTTTCTGTCTTACTCTTTCTCTCGACTTGTCAAACTGTTTATTCATGATGAAAGCGATGAATTGGATGATCTGTCCTTTCCTCTGTTTCCCATCCACCTCACGCAAATGTCAGTCAGTGATACATGTAGCTCCGGACAGATAAGAAGTATCAATGAATATGCATCTTTTGAGCAGCGTATCTCACTACCAGGGCACACTGCATTTCAAGCAGTAACACAAAATAACAAACAGAAGATATTGATGGCTCCATGTCAGTTTAGAATTCATTAGAAAACAGAATCATTTGTTTTTCACCCATTTGTCTGTAAAGACATGCACTGGCAGTGTCTTGACAGCATCAGCTTGTCTGAATGTGTCACTGTCATACTATATTTCCTTCTGTTCTCAACTCTTCAGAAAAGCAACAACTCTCTCACTCGCCCTGATCAACACATTCTAGCTAATGTACCTTACCTGCTTCTTCAGATTGGATGACACATTCATTGTGTGACGTCATGTGACATCCGTGGCAGCCTGCAGGTGTGTGTTACACTAGTCATTGATAAATAGTAGCAGTACTGTAAGTCAATGGCCAAACGCACCTTGAGAGTGTTTTCTTCAGGATGGATTTTTACTGAGAAATTAAAGATATAGATTAAGATTACATATAAACTGTTTTCTCCATTTGCATATTGATTAATACTGATAAAGTGCAGATTCTCAGTCATCCAGGTCATAGTAAGCTGAAAAAAACTTAGACAAAAATCAACTGGACTAGGTTTTTAGGTCAAAGACGTTTCATCTCTCATTCAAGAGGCTTGTTAGTTTGTTCTGGTGTCATTCAACTACATAATTTTGCCATGACCTGGCTCAAGTTTCAGACATAAAGAGGGAGACTTAGTTTCACTGATAAATGTTTGCTTTCTGAAGAAAATGTTCTAATATGTATTGTTACTGTAAAGTCACTATAGTTATGTCAAACATTATGGAGGGAAATCTCAACACAAAACACAAACACAGATGTAGAATATTGTTTTTAACCTTAACAACATCACATAAGCCCTTAAGCTTCTATGCTGCACTCTCTTACTATTCATATAGTTACTGGAAGCAGGTAAATGTAGCTAATTTCTTCTCTGCTCACTTTGCCACTAACAAACCTAACCAAGTTAGCAGTAGCCACAAATGACACTGAAGTTGAAGTCAAGCACTCAAGTGTGTAAGCACAAAAAGTTCATCTGAAATGCCCTGAACTCTCTGAAATACTCTCAATTTAAGATCAGCCTAAAGGATGTAATTGAGGCCTATGGCCATCATAAGCACAACATGGAAGAGCACCTGTTCCTGGATGGCACCATGCCACTGCTCTCTGTCTGCCTGCTGTGGTGCCTACCTACCCTCTGATGAGGAATTAGAAAGTCATTAAGGAACACAAATAGCAGGATGGCACAGTCACAACCAACTCCAGACTAAATGTGTGTCTTAATCTACAGTCTCATGGGACTTACAATTGGAACAGGCACTTCCTGCTTTTACAGTGCATTCAGTACGAGGCCTTGGTCCTTCACCTTGCTAACACTCTCTTCTTGAAATGCAAGTCACACGCTATCATCAGCCTGGGCGTCTGTACAAATTGCACACTGAAACTACAGTGAGACAGAAAATGCTAATGTTGTTCCATGTCTGTTAAATGTGACAATAGGTAAACTTTGTAACTATTTGCTTACAGTTTCGGTGTAATTAGGTGATAATATACCAGTGTTGTGTTTACAGCTTGTTCCTCAGGCTGTAAGTGGCCAAAACCTGGATTAGGCTCTACAAGCCCAAATTCCAATGAAGTTGGGACATTGTGTAAAATGTAAATAAAAACAGAATGCAATGACTTGCAAATCCATTTTGCGCCACACATTTTCAATGGGAGACAGGTCTGGACTGCAGGCAGGCCAGTCTAGTACTGTTAGGGTGATTTTCATTTTTAGATAGAAATATATAATTAGTTAGGGTTTTATTATATAGCATACATAAGTTTATATATTTTACTCTCACAGTTGTGTTTATGTTTATGTAGTTACATATCACCTTAAGTCTGCATTGAATCACTGGTCAGTATTTTCTGTGTAACCCAACTAGGGTACTGTTTAACATCAAAGGGAGACTGGTTCATTAAAACACTGAGTTTTAAGATTTACAGCTTTAGCAAAGAGGGTCCACAGATAAGTTATATTACTACCTGGCTGTAGAGGCCAGGGAATTTGGGGTCACTGGGACACTAGGGGTAATAAACAAGAGATTAGATCTAAAAGCCAACAAGAGGAAGACAACTTCAAAAGACAGGACAATATACAGACACACACAGGCAGAGAAGTTTTATTGTTAAAAGGGGGGTTAGTGCCAAAAGTTTCTTGGAAACAAAGAAAGACATAGGTGTCTATGTAAGAATTAAGACAGGGCAAGTATTCCTCCCTTTTAGGGTGTTGTTTACAACCATTGGATCAGAGGAGAAGGATGGACGGACTGAAGGACCAATCTTGGGAGAATTAAGTTTAAACCACAATTCCTCCCCAACAGTTTTTGGACCAATCAGAGAGCAACATTCTTTCATATAAATGTTGTGTACTGCTAAGTTGAATTTAGTCTTTTCTGTTTATCCTAAACAGATGAGATCCATGTGCACATGCTTATTTTGATACGTTAATGCATAATAAATTTCACACTGTGAAATATCTTTATATTTAGTCTTTTCTTTTCAATTTACGTGAACACGTTCAACAAATTTTGGTGACC